GCAAATATTTGTACTAAAACTTAAAAAAAAAAAAAAACTTGGTGAAACTTACATTACATTTTAGTCAACATGTTGAAACATAACAACAATGAAACATTTTCATATGGATAAAAAAAAAACTAAGTTGTATAAACTTTATTGGTTGAAAATTTTTATGCCACTAATTTTGCCAAATAAATTTGCAAAAACAAGTTTCTCACTGACCGATATGTATATTTGTTTTTTTGCTTTAAATTTAAAATAGACAATCAGCAGATTGCATAAGTGAAAGTGAATTTAAAAAAATGGAAGGATAAAAAAGTTTAAGTTTAGTGTAAAGAAAATGTACTGCGCTAAAATGTTTTAATTTAATATCAAATTATTTTATAAAATTATTGTATTAAATATTTTGGAGTCTAAAAAACTGCTGTAAAATCGAAGCCATATGTCTAAATAAGTTATGTTCCAAATTTGAAGTTGATATTTTAAAAAAATTATGACGTTTCTGTGAGATTTTATTTTGGTATTATACCAAAAATAGTCATTACTTCTATAACAAAATAGCCACCAAATATGGAATCTTGAGACTCAGACCTTTCCAACGGTATGTATTTTGTCAAGATTATAAAAAGTTTTAATTTTAAAATATTGTAGTAAATTTTGTAATATGACACTTGACACTGCCCATTAGGGGGAGGAGTCTGCTAAAAGATTTTAAAGTAGCCTATACCATTTCCATGGTAACGCTTTGTCTGATTTCAAAATAGTTTTTAAGTTTGCAAATAACTATTTTACGCTGATTACTAAAATATGTGATGAGGAAAAAACTTAAATTTGATTTCATCTTTTCATATAAGTAATCTCCCTTCTCAAATAAATGTATTTTGATATTTGTAATGGAAAACGAGACTGAGGAACATCATTTTGTTCGCATCGATCCGGTTTTGTACCCAACAAAAGATCACGTGTGTGCGGTGACAAGGCCTTCTATTGTCTAAGAGTAGGAAAAACCCTCGTCCCACGTGGAGTCTGCTCTCTTGGAGCCGACGGTTTGTGTCTTCAGACGTCCCACCAGTGCAGCCCACCGGCCTGAAACTAAACACAGACTCGGCTGGGGCAGCTTTAATGATTTTTGCTGAGACTGGCAATCGCAGATTAACCGAGATTGTATTGTTCAAAACGTCTGTTTACTGATGAACTAGCTGAGATTTTAGTGTCGTCTCTAATCAGCGGGCTAATTTTTAGTTCGAACCCAACTGTCACTTTGACCCTATCATCGTAAACGTTATATTGTGAATGTGTCAATCAGGGAACGTGACTGTTTACACAACTCCGTTTGTATCGTAGCCTTAGCATTCTGGTGCACTGCAAAGACACTTAACTTCATCCTGAGACACTAAAAATGTCTTTCCGCCCTGTTTTGATTAAAACATATTGTTTGCTTTTTATGACGAGTGTCAGATTCCACAGTGCAGCATGTAGTATTTGTGGGCAGGCGGCGCAGTTTAACGGGCCTGGAGACATAGTTCATCCACGTGTGCCAATTCTGGGTTAATGAACTGCTCAAAACAACCATTGTCAACACATTGCTACAACGGCCATTGAGCATGTAGGGTCATTACGGAGCGGTGTGTTTATTAAGCTGCTCACTGGTCCGGGTTTATTGGAGTGAGTTTTAAACTTTGACCACAATTAACTGGCGTTTTTGTTCTTATGAAGACTTGTTTAAATATTTTGCATGAGGAATGATTCATGTGTTTGAAAAAGTTTGTATATTGTCTTTTGCCTGTATTTCTGTGTTTAGTTTTGGGAACTGTCTTTTTGACCAAATAGCCATTGTTGCAAAATAGATTCAAAAACGTTCAATGTAAAATGTAAAACATTACAAATCTGAGCTGTAAATGACCAATGATGAACACGACAATATTTATTAATTTAATTCTTCAAATTAACAATAAAAAAGCAGTAAACAGAGGTGTTTTCCAAAACATAAATATTACTAAAACTTAAACAATGTACCAAAACTTACATTTGAGTGAAAATTTTAAGTGATGGTGAATGAACAAGTGTTTAGAAAATCATTTAATTTAAAAAAACAGAACTACAGAAACTTGTGTAAACTTGTGTTGTGTAATTTTCCAACTTTGCCGAAAAGTAATTTTCCAAATTTGTCAGAGATAATGCTAATAATTCATAATTTATCACATTTTCATTTTATGCACTTTTATTATTTTAGTTTAATTATTGTATTTTATTTATTTTATTCATCATATAGCATATTAACCGTTTCTTGGAAATATAATGAAAATACCATTCAGAAATTCCATTGGGTTTCTGCTAGTGTTTGAAAGAGTTTGTATTTTTATTAATTTTAATTTATTTGTATTATTTATATAACTTTTTTCTTTTTCCTGTATTTCTGTATTTATTTTCAGAATGCATCTTTCTGATCAAATATCCATTGTTGCACAGTTGATTCAACATATTCAGTGTAAAATGTAAAAAAAAAATTTTTAAAAATGCATTTTTTTCAGTGTTTTTACATAAATGAATTATTCTACAATTATTTTATTTCACCAAATTAACAATAAATAGAATATTTCCTACATATGTTTTACTAAAACTTTAGTAAACTGCCACTAGTTTTTCCAAATTTGCCAAAAACTTATGTTTTTCAACAATCATTGCTTGGATAGACAGATTTCCCACCCAAAACACGCATCATTGCTTGAATCATTGTTGAAAACAATGCAGTGTATTCAAAGTTTTCAAAGAAATCAGTCTATAGACACACATGATCTTAGTTACTTCACAGACAACGAAACATCTTTTTTTAGCTAGGTTTCTTAGAAAACCAAGTCCTGACTTTGTTGTATAATGACGTGAAGGCCCTAGATTTCAATTTATTTACTTCTGTGAACAGGACGTATGTCCAGAACAGGATGTATTTTATTCTTATTTGATTTCTTTATGGTGCGAGATAAACCTGACCTGACGATGTGAGTTGTTTGGGATCAGGACATACAAATAGATTTCCATCACCCACCACCAGTGCTCGTTTGTTAATTTGTTTATAGATTTAATGGACCTGAAGTGTCCCACTCATAAATGTTCCCGTCCTTAAGATTCGTCAGCAGCTTCTGGCGTTCATTAATCCTGGAGTCAGACTGATTTGTTTTGCATTCGGTGGAGTTTTAGGAATGTAGCTGGATTTTGCATGAGTCAAATCAGTGGCTTTTTGTAATACGTCTGAAATGCTGCTATTTAAGAGCTAACTAGATAAACTAATTACCACCTTAAATCACTGATCTCACCTGAGAGCTTAGCGGGGAACTTGACCCCTTTTAACTATAAGTTTTGGGATATATTTGTTGTCCATTATTAGCACCTACTATTAGGTATTATATATCTGTTATTGTGCACCTACTACTAAAACTGGATTTCAACAAAGGGTATGTACATAGTGAAATGTTGTTTGATCATGTTAATGTTCATTAAATCAAGATTTGTGTTTGAGTAGTAGAACAGTAGATTAAAACTAGATGAGTAAAGTCTGCAAACAAACATTGATGTTAGCTTGACAAAGCCTTGTGTCAAGGTTTGAAAAGTTTGAAGTTTAAAGATTTTACTTGAAGTCAGTGAAATATTATTAACATATTCTAGCACATTGTTAAAATGTTTAAGCAAGTAGTTACCATGATGCTGCTAACCGTGCTGTTTTAGCACATTACCAGCATGGTTTATCATGTTGATAACGTTTTAGCATGTTGTTAAATTCATTTATAATGTTGCTACCATGTTTGACCACTCTGTTGGCCTGCTTTACTGTGTTGCAAGCGTGACTTACCACTTTGCTAGCATGATTTAACACATTATTAACATGTTTAACATGTTCCTAGCATGATTTGAAACACATTGTTAACATTTTAACGTTACTAGCATGATTTTAGCACATTAACATGAATTAGCATGTGGTTACCATGTTTAAACATTTTGCTAGAATGTTTTAGCACATTGCTAGTATGTTTTAACATGTTGCTAGCATGATTTAGCACTTTTTAGCCAAAGAATTGGCTAAAACTCTTTTTTTCCAAAAAAATATTTTTTTTCCAAAGAATTTAATGTACAAAATCAAACAAATGACAATCAAAATATTTTCTAAATGAAGAACAAAGAATGCTGTACAAAGCACATTGCTAGCATGTTTTAGCACATTGCTAGCATGTTTTAGCACATTGCTAGCATGTTTTAGCACATTGCTAGCATAATTTAACATGTTGCAAGCATGTTGCTAACATGTTTTAGCTAGCAAGTTCTAATTCCACAGCTTATCGCTAACATGATTGAGTATCTTCTTAGCATGTTGGTAACATGATTTAACCCATTTTTAGCATGTCTAACATGTGTTAGCACATTGTTATGGTGTGTGCACACCAAAAGCGAATCTAATTATTAGCAAGAGTAGATTACATGCAAAGTCAGACACAAACGGACAGAAATTCACGCCGGGCAATGTGAATGATGCAAATTGGGCAACGCGTTTGCTGCGAACATGTGACATTCGTCCCAATCACATCCTTTTTTCGTGTAAGTCGAAAAATTTCAACTTGAGCAGAAAATTTGCATGACGCGTTGTCGCGCAAGCCAATCAGAGAAGAGCTTATTGACACGTCCGATTGTATCTTAAAAAATTTCAATTTTTCTTATGTTTTTATTCCCGCGAACAACATGGAAAAACATCTTGCGAGCACTCTAGAGCGAGTAACGTGATGCAAGTATTCGCTTTGCTTTTGGTGTGCACACACCATTAGTATGTTTTAACATTTCAGAACAGTCTGAAATTTGGTGCTTGTATCTTGAAAACTACTATTTAAAATTTAGTCTCAGAAGTCAACATCATAAAATCAGTTTAATGTAAAACACTTCAGATCTAGATTAATGCGTCCGGCATGTAAATCGCTTGAATTCGGTCTTGATAGCGCAGGATAAGATTGTGATTTATCTCTGTGTTCCTCCTTCAGGTGTATCGCGGGTCCATGTGCCTCCATCCTTCACATCCAGACGGAGTTGAGTCGGAGAGCTCAGCCCAACGCCGTCCTGGAGAAAGTGTTTACATCCATCACAAGGGTATGCTGAAGCAGCGTAATGGAAAATAAAGCCATGATAAGCCGTGAGAGAGAGAGAGAGTCATTGACCAAAGCTGATGCTCAAAGTGAAGTAAACTGGTGAAATAAGATTAAAATACAATCAAAACATTTCCCAGCCCCATTTTTAGACATTATTCAGTCCTGGTTTTTCTCTTTTATGAACCTGTTGTTCCTTTGCTGTCACTGTGTGTTTTATGAGGCCATCAGAGCAATATCTTCAACTTTAGTCTAGAAACCGATAATAAATACACCTCAGGCAGGTTTAACATTAGCTGACAGATGAATATTGTGGTGACATTTCTCTTTACAATCTCCAATGACTTCAAAGAGCCGTTTTGTTGAGCTGCTGTAAAACGTCTTTATAAGCTGCTGTTGTGGGTGGAGATCTGGGGCCAGTTGCATAAACTTAGCCACCATGTTAAGACTGTCTTGAGAACTAGTTTGACCAACTAGCAGTTGCCAAGGGTAATCAGTCTTACTTTTCCAATATAAATAAGACCAATCTATCTTTTTATAACTGAATTTAAAAAGTATATGACCAGTCTTGAAGAAAAAAAATTAGATGACTAACTTTTTAAGACTAGTCTAAACAGTTTATGCAACGGGCCCCTGAACTGATAACTTTCAGAAGAAAGCTGTCAATCTGTGGTCTCATTTTTCATTTGTCATTTTGATGGTTATTCTGTAGGCCTTTCTTTTTTTCATTTTATGTATCAACTTGAGACGGTTTATGTTCTGGATGTTCCAGGGTTTGATTTTTGATTTATTTATTTTTTTATGGAAAGTATAATTTATATACCTTTGTTCCATTTATGCTCCAAGGCTTGATTTTATTTGTTTTTATAATGAAAACTAAAATTGATTTACTTTTGTCCCAGACCCAGACTTTAAAGCTTACAGTGTAAAAATCCATAATAAATATATTATTTATTTCAATTTAAAACTATCATAGTAAAAAAGTAAAATAATTGCAGCTAATTCATTTATTGTGTGAGATATGTACATTTTTACATTAACTTTAGGCAGTTTATGTTCCAGGGTTTGGTTTTCTTTTTCTTTCTTTTTTTTTTTAATGAAAACTTTTTAGAATTTATTTATTTTTGTCTTATATCAAGACTTTAAAGCTTACAATGTAAAAATCTCTAAGAAATATATAATTTCAATTTAAAACTATCATAAAGAAAAAGTGAAATAAATGTAGCTATTTCAGTGTTTATTGTGTGATTTACATACATTGTTACACAACTTATGCCTGTAACAATTTTCACAACAAAAAATTCTGTACTTTATAACATTTAATTTATTAATTTATTAGTATACAAAAGTGTCGGTGAAGGTCTTGAGATACAAGACGTGAAGAACTAAATAAACTAAATAAAATTAAGATGTAAATTTTGAGTTATTGTCGGCGCCGATTGCCTTGTGGGTAGCGTGACGACATAAGCGCCGTTACGCTACGGGTGTCCCGAGTTCGAATCCCAACTCGAGGACCATTCCCGATCCCACTCCCTTTTTCTCAAAAAACACAGCCTAATTTTCATTTTTGGGTGAACTAACCCTTTAAGTTATACTTTTTTTTTTTTTTGTCATTTCCAGTTTAACTTAAATTGTCAAGTTATGCAAAAAATTTGAAAATATTAATTACTTGTGTGTGTGTCTTTATAGGACAAATAAATAAAATGCTAGCAAGAATTTATTCGTAACTTTATAATTCCACAATACAATGAAGGATAATTTGAGATATGATTACATTTACTCACAATTTTTCTTGTTTATTCCAGTCCCCAGACTCGAGGCACTTAGAGGGTCTGTCTAAGCAGCTGGACTGGGACGTGAGGAAGGTCCAGCGATGGTTTCGACACCGGCGGAACCAGGACAAACCCAGCACAAGAACCAAGTTTTGCGAGAGCATGTACGTTTTAATGCTTTTCTGCTAGCGCATTTATAGTGCATTAGCATATAGAAATTAATAAAAATATGCCGTCCAAAATGTTTTATTTTATAGACACTTTTATGGAAAGTGATGAGGAAATTATCATCGATATTTGGACTACACCATTTGTCAAGTTTCTAGTATAAGCTACTCAAGAATTAGTACACAAGCTAATAATAATTCATCTTAGAGATAGTTGGTTTGGTTCATTAGAAATCTTTATTGAGGAATGTTTTGAGATTTCAATGTAATTAATAAAAATATGCCGTCCAAAATGTTTTATTTTATAGACACTTTTATGGAAAGTGATGAGGAAATTATCATCGATATTTGGACTACACCATTTGTCAAGTTTCTAGTATAAGCTACTCAAGTATTAGTACACAAGCTAATAATAATTCATCTTAGAGATAGTTGGTTTGGTTCATTAGAAATCTTTGAGGAATGTTTTGAGATTTCAATGGAAAATTACTTATACAGTGGGTGGTGGGCGGAGTCTCTTCCTCCATTGGTCGGTTTTTCTGTCAATCACAGTTTCACTGCAAGTGCTCTAGATTGGCCGTGAAAATATAAATGCATGTTGATTTTGGAGGAGCAGGTTGTTGTCTACCATCATATATTTTTGGAAACAGAGCCCTGTGGGGTCTTTCCTGATTTAGTCATATCAGATTCATCTGTTGTCAAACAAAAGATCCGCCCTCATTCTCTATGGTTCAGCAGTGAAATCAGGCCTCTGGCTGCCATGTTTCCCAACACATGTGATTGGATTGATGGGATTGTGTTCAACATTTCCTTTCTGATTGCTATACTCTGTGGTTACTCTCACATGCAGCCGTGTGTTTGAGTTTCTGTCATTTGTTTTCTCTGCTTTCTCTGCAGGTGGAGGTTTACATTCTATCTGTATATATTTACGTATGGGATCCGTTTCCTGTGGCAGGTGAGCTACAACTGAAAGATGTAGAATTACAGACAGATATCACTGTTTGGGCCATTTGTGTAATTTTTTTTAATCCGTGTGTGTGTGTGTGTGTTTTCTAGTCTCCCTGGATGTGGGATACGAGACACTGCTGGTACAATTACCCTTATCAGGTAACGCTTAAAATGTTGCCATCTTCTGATGTGGGTTCAAATGAATCTTAACAGTGAACTGTGACATTTTCACAAATCTTTTGCCCGTTATGTTTAAATTGTGCAAACAACCCACAATATAAGAGCATATAAAGGAAAACTGCAAAGGACATGTTTTTTTGTCGTTGTTGAATTTATGCAAATTTAAATTGTCATAAGCAAAATAAAATAATTCTTAAGAATATAACTGATTGCAAAAAATATATATTTTTATATATAATACTGTATAGCACTTTGGGTATTAGAAAAGTGCTATACAGTATTAGCATTTTAATATGTGACGATTTAAATATGTGACGATTCAAATCGGTTGAGATGCTAAACAAATCGCGATTCAGTTAGGGGTAGGAGTTTATATGAATGTATGCCTGAGGGGAACTTACCGTCTTTCGATGGTATTTTTTCTTTTCCTCTTGCCTCTGTATAATGCATATTAAAGTTCATAAGTGCAGCGCTGCTTTGTTTACAGCGGAAACCAAGGAAACGCTTTAAGCGCCACCTGCTGGCAGAGAGTGAATCTGCGTCTCATTCAGCTCGTCTGCTGTTTCTGTTTCGTGCAGATATTTTTTATGCATAATTTCACAAAACTGAAGTCAAACCATTCTGTTTGAAATTCTGAAATTATACAATCTAATTTAGATTAAAAACTGCTCATGTTGCATGTATGCATCATCTTTGTTTAGAGCATGATTCAAATGCAGTGGTTGCCTCTAATTTTAAAAGGAAAGCGCACAGACAAAGCCTTAGTTTGTTTATATGAAGAGATTTATTTTATTTGTGTTACTTATTTATTTGATTTGGGGCTTGTTTTAAAATATTTTTTAAAATGTGAGTGAAATGTTACATCCCTAATGTATTGTATTATTAAAATGTATGATTAAAAATAATAACAATTTAGATAATAAATGTGCTTGGTTGTCTTTCAGAAATTTCACATCGCAAAAAAAAACAATCTTAAAGATCCTAAAATGTTTGTCACTTCATGCATTAAATAAAATTTAATTAAATGATTTTATTTTATAATGAGGATTTACGGAGTAAATGCACTGTCATGAGCAACATAAAAATAAATAAATAAAACAATCTCAATGATCCTACAGTTGATTTCACATTTTTTGTTTGAAGAGCGTCTTCAGGGTGCGGCTCGTCTATTTGTTTAAGATACGGCCGGTGGCCGTGGCCATTATGAGCCCAGAGTTTTGACTCCATCATAACAGAGAGATGTTGTTCCTCTTTATTTATAGACACGGTGGAAACAATCTGGAGAATTCGGCTGCTGTTTGCAGCTTGAAGGGAAAAGTTACAAATCTGAATTGTTTTTGTGCGCTCGTGTTTAATTTGCATCATATTTTCGTGTCCTGCTGGTAGTTTTTTTTACATATTTCCCGTGTGTTTCTGCAGGATTTCCTCATCATGTTCGTTCATCATCTGGCGACCATCAGCCTGATCAGTTTCTCGTATGTAAATAACATGTTGCGTGTGGGGAGTCTGGTCATGTGCGTTCACGACACATCGGACTTCCTGCTGGAGGTGAGAACGCACAACAATGCTTTTACTGTCACGTTATTCTGCATAATATTCATCAGCCAGCATTTAACTGAGGAGCAGTGTATAATTTTATACAAAATTACCCACATTAACTTTTTTCCTCAATGGTACATGAATAATTGATTTCTAAATCAACATCTAACTAGATTTTGAAGTGAAATTGCGCTTAGTATTTTGATATTTTATTCAGTGCTACATGAGCAGCATTTACAAAACAGATATATTCAAAAATACCTGTATTATTTTCTAATAATATTATTGTAATATATAGCATATATATTATACATTACATTTATAATAATATTATAAATGTAACGTATAATATATATGCAATATATTACAATAAAATAAAATTATAAATCAACATGTATTTTATCATTTTATTTTTATTATAGATAGGTAGATACCAAATAATATTGTTATTTTATTATTATATTACCATTTAGAAATTAGCATTTAAATGCACTTTTTAGTATCATTAATATACTAATACAATTTTCACTCTTTCCATTGTCATTTCAATTTTAGGTATAGTCATTTTGTTGTGTTTTTGTCATTTGTATTCTTTTTTTACATCTATTTAGTGTTTTTGTTTATTAATTAATTAATTGTAATTTTTAAATGTCGCCTTAACAGCTTACCTAAAAAAATAAAATACAAGAAATAAGTTTAAAGGGATAGTTCACCCAAAAATGAAAATTCTGTCATTACCGTATTGACCCGAATATAAGCCGATGTTTTTTTCTTGGAAATGCATCTGAAAAAACGCGGTCGTCTTATATTCAGGGTCTAGACTTTGACATGTCAATAATACACCCACAACAATAGGTGGATTTTAGTTTTCTTTGCGCAAAAAAGTATTCTCGTAGCTTCGTAACTTTACAGTTGAACCACTGATGTCACACGGACTACTTTGTCGATCATCTTGGTACTTTTCTGGACCTTGAACGTGGTAGTTACCTTGCTGTCTATGGGAGGGTCAAAGAGCCCTCAGATTTCATCAAAAATATCTTAAATTGTGTTCCGAAGATGAACGGAGGTCTTACGGGTTTCGAACGACATGAGGGTGAGTAATTAATGACAGAATTTTCATTTTTGGGTGAACTAACCCTTTAAGGGTTTTTTATATATTAGTTTTATTTCATTTAACATTTTTTAAGATTTTAATAAAAATTACATTTTTTTAGTTGTAGAATGTTTTATTAAAAATCAAGAAAGAAAAACATTATATAACTGTATATAAACTGCATTTAAACAAGTATTGATGTATAAAATTCTATCCCACTGTATTTTTTCCAAATGCAACATTTTTTAATGAATATTTGTTTTATGTATTTATTCATTCATTTTTTTTTTATCTTATAGGCCGCAAAGTTAGCAAACTATGCCAAATACCAGCGTTTATGTGACTTCTTGTTTGTGGTGTTCAGTATGATCTTCTTCGGGACGAGATTGATCATTTTCCCCTTCTGGTCAGTATCACATCCGTGTGTGTGTGTGTGTGCACAGGCGATCATTTAATAGTCCAATTAACTGTGGTTGAGAGTCGCTGATGGCAGAGCGAAACCCGAGCGGCTGGATTTAGTGTCTGGGTTTTTTTATCACGATGACAGAACCGACACACAGTCCAGATCCACTGACCTCCACCGCAGATACCACACTCAGTCAGCAGGACATCACATAGAGAAATCACTATTATATGCCTTAAAGATTCTCTATACTGTTTTCTAAAACCAGTTCCAGTCCTTGATTCTGACTGGCCAGCAGCTGTGTTTTATTCACGATAAAGAACAGCTATGACCGTTTCATCCGGTTCTGTGTATCACTGAGCAACACCCTTAGCTACATAAACAATCAATAATGTAGTGTCAAAACTGTTCCATGTGTTATATATTCAGTAAAATGAACTGTTTATTATTTATGTAATGAATAATGAGTGAAGGGGTTGCAGTGACTCGTGTCTAACAACGCCCTTCAGCTGTGACTTATTCACAATACAGCACAGCCTCTTATTGCTTGCTTATCACTTTCTATTATACTAAATATTGCATACTAATACTAAATGCATATTGATAGCATTAATTTAGTATTCATATTATTAATACTAAAATTAGTATTAAAAGTGTTGAAAGTCTCAAGCATTTTAGAAATTTAAATGAAAAGAAAATTAATGAAAATCATCTGAAATGAAATTCAGTAGTAAATTATTGCATTGCATTGCTGTGTAATAGTAATTAAATAAATGCCTTTATAATTTTAATAAGAATCACAGTGTAGAATGCTTAGTTGTCATGCCATAAATTTCACATTGCAAAAAAAAACAAGATCCTAAATGGCCTTCAACGTATTTATTTTATTTTAATGAGGATTTATCAAGGATTAATGTAATAGAAATGTTAAAAGTAAAATATAAAAACATGAATGGCAAATTTTCATTATTACTTTCTCATTTAATTAAAAACAAATAATAGTTTTAATGCCGACAGATCATGAAAACCATATGTCTGCAGCCGTAGTTTTAGAGTACATTAATAATTCAAACATTATTTTTAATTTTCTATTACTTATTTTTTTTATCAAAACAACAAGTTAATGTAAATTATTATTATTTGAATGCTTAGGTTATAATATGTTATCTAATGAGGTCAATTATTTTATTCATTATATATCCAATATTTTTATTATTGATACTTTGTGCCAGTTTCCCAGGAAGTGGCTATTTTATTATCTTGAATGCATGGGATAGAAATAGTGCTTTATTCACAAATGTTTCTGTGATATTTCAAGTTAAATTCGCAACTTTGGATGTAAACATAGATATTGTTAATATGTTATTTTAAAACTGTCTCAAAATCTGAAAATATGACGACAAATGTTTGTGGTACACATTGTCAAAATTAAGTACTCATTTTTCGTGAGAAAATAGTAAATATCAGTAGTATACAAAATATTAAAGCAGACGTAGATGAGTTTGTTTCTTCATCAGATTTGGAGAAATGTAGCATTGCATCACTTGCTCACCAGTGGATGCTCTGCAGTGAATGGGTGCCGTCAGAATGAGAGTCCAAACAGCTGATAAAAACATCACAATAATCCACAAGTAATCCACACCACTCCAGTTCATCAATTAATCTCTTGTGAAGCCAAAAGCTGTGTGTTTGTAAGAAACAAATCCATCATTGGGATGTTTTAACTTCAAACTGTTGCTCCTGGCTAAAATATGACTCCATAATCCACAAAAACGCTTAATCCAGTTTACTGGTAAAATTTACAAATAATGGTAAAATGATTGGTAAAAAAAATTCTCCCCATATGTTTAGATAAGATGAAGTGTTTTGTTGTTGCAGGATTCTGAACACGACGCTCTTCGAGAGCTGGGAGATCATCGGGCCGTACCCGTCCTGGTGGCTCTTCAACTTTCTGCTGCTGGTGTTGCAGGTGCTGCACATCCTCTGGTCCTACCTCATCGCCGGCATCGCCTTCAAAGCCATCATGAGAGGAAAGGTGCGCACAAAACCCTCTGTTACTCGCTCGCTCTGAGCCACATGTTCAGGAGGTCCACGTTCATGTTGTGTAGTTACACGCGTTTCCTCTCTTTTTATCTTTCTCTCCTGCAGAGCTGGTTTGTCTTTCCCCTATCTAGCTGCTGGAAGGCTGTTCCCGTCTTTATAGAAATCTTTCGCTATTTCTGCTAAACTCGCTCGCTTTAGGGTCTTTCCCTCTCTCTCAGTTTCTTCGGCTGTAAGTCTGCTTTCTTTACTTGATTTCCTGGTTCATTTTGTAGCAGCCTGAAATGTGAATTAAACTGAATGTGTTTCAAAGGATTAGTTTACTCCAAAAATGCAATTTCGCTGAACATTTAATCTCCCTCAGGCCATTCAAGATGTAGATGAGTTTGTTTCTTTATCAGATTTGGAGAAATGTAGCATTACGTCACTTGTTCTCCAATGGATCCTCTGCAGTGAATGGGTGCCGTCAGAATGAGAGTCCAAACAGCTGATAAAAACATCACAATAATCCACAAGTAATCCACAACATCAATTAACATCTTGTGAAGTGAAAAGCTACTTGTTTGTAAGAAACTAACTTCAACTAACTTTTAACGTCAAACCGTCTCTTCTGGCTAAAATATGACTCCATAATCCATAATAATGCTTCCTCCAGTGAAAAAGTTGTCTCGTCTGAATCAGGAGAGACATCTGCATGGATGAAACATTGTTTACAAGCCAAAACAGCTCTAAACTGTCTGAGGATTTTCACTAGAGGAAGCGTTACTATGGATTATGGAGTCATATTTTAGCCAAAAGCAACAATTTGAAGTTAAAACTTCTTAATGATGGATTTGTTTCTTACAAACATGCTGCTTTCACCTCACAAGATGTTAATTGATGGACTGGAGTGGAGTGGATTGTTGTGATGTTTTTATCAGCTGTTTGGGCTCTCATTCTGACGGCACCCATTCACTGCAGAGGAACCATTGGTGAGTAAGTGATGTAACGCAACATTTCTCCAAATCTGATGAACAAACAAACTCATCTACATCTTTGAGTGGAGGATTTTGCTTTTAAAGCACCCAAGCGCCCTCTAGAGGAAGGCCGCCAACATTTTCCAGCCAGAGAATTGAACCAAAACAGTCCTTTAATTTAAAAAGCGACCATTGGATTGGTCTGTTTATAAAACCATTAAACAAGTTGATAAAATAATTAAACCATTTTTTAACATACTACATCCAGACCATTCAAAGTACTACAACTAATACCTTAAATGTCGTTCCAGGTGTCCAAAGACGACCGCAGCGACATCGAAAGCAGCTCGGAGGAAGAAACCGAAACGTCACCCAAAGAGCGACTCAAGACGGCTTCATCCCGAGGAGAAAACGGCACCAACGGCCATTTTGGCTCTAAACCCTGGAGCCAGAACCACAACAACTGGTGACGCTCACTCCACGTGGCCTTGCGCACAAAGAACTCATGTCCCAGAAATATCGTGACGGGACTATTGCTCATCCCTGTACCTCACTCCAACACCAAAACCAACAAAACACCAACAAAATCACCCTGTTGTGGGACTATTGAGACTCGATGACAGAGATTGGGGCATCATTCCGGTGATGATGGGACAGTAATGACATTATGGCCACTATGAGAAGCTTGTGAAAGAGAAAAACGATTATATTAGTGATATTTGCATTCCCTCGTTTCCTTGTCTTGGGAGTTGAGAAGATGTTTCTTTTCCACGCTTCGTTTTACTGAAGTCATGGAAGAAGATTCTCTTCAGATTTTAATGGTCAGATGTACTTGAGTTTCCATATACAGTTGCCTTTCTTTTTGTTTTCATTGTTTTGGTAACTGATGTGTTTGTAATTTGTTTCCTGTGCTGTTTTTCATTTAGCTTTTTTATGTTTGGAAACCAAATAAGGTTATTAAAATGAAAGCTGGGCCTTTTTCCTGTAATGAGATACTTCTTTGATTTAATTGGGGAGTGTTTTACCTTCCACTGGAAATCAGGGTGGATTAAATTAAACAAATATGCGAAGAAATAAAATATGAAAAATGAAATAAGTTTAGGGTTCCCGTGGAATTTTAAAAGTGTAGTTTCCTGTCTTGTAGTCAATTTTGAATTCTTTAAAAATTTAAATTTATATACTGCAGAAAAGTTGGAATTTTCCGATCATAATGAGCATTGTAAATGCTAAATGCAAATAAAAATAAAATTAATGTTAAATAATATCTAGGTCCTGAAGCAAAACCAGTTGAGAGCTACTGGTACGTTGAATAAAACAGGTATTTTAATAATATTTATACACTTTATAGTGTTTAATATTTTGAATTTGCTTTTATTTTCCGTTAACTTATTTAAGTTGTAGTAATTGTATGTGCTTTTGTCATTTTGTTTTAAATGTAATTTCTGTTTAGTTTTAATTTATATTTAAGATATAGTATTATTTTAGTACTTCAATCTAAACTTGTTTTCAGTTGGCTGATCGATTTAAATTTTTCATCTAATATTTATGTTTTATTTCAGCTTTATTTAAATGAACAAAAACTATTTAAATAATTTTCACACCTGGAAAAACATGGTAAAATCATGTGTTAACAGCTGTGGGAACCCTACAGATCTATAGGACATGCACAAACACTCATGACAGTAGATTTAACAAGGATCATTTAATATATTACAACACATAAGATCTCACTGAACTCCACAAAAAGGCAAATGAACCCTTCGAGGGTCACGAACGCAGGTGGGTTTCTGCTGACAATCTGCTGGGCCACATACTGTCCCACCCGTGTGACATGATCCGTGTCAGGTTAACTGATTATTTACAGCCCGTGTCTTCAGTCTTTAATAGTTTCTGAAGCCGCGCTCTCATTCTGTGCCGCCAGATCCAGCTGTTTCTGTCTCTGCATGTATCGCTGAGCTCGCAGGACGCACAGGTATCCGCCGTACACCGTCAACAGCATCATGGAGCCAGAGAAGAGCTTATAACCCGCATCAGCGATGCGCTTCCCACTGAGCATGATGGATCTGTGAAAACCGAGTTGAATTAGTAGCATCTCAGAAAACAGAATGTTTCCCTAATGTTTGCCATTTGTGAGGTGAGGTGGGGGAACCAAATAAGAACGTTCTGGGAACGTTCTGCAAACCTAAAAAGAATGTGTTATGTCTGTAAAGGCTGGCTAATCAAACACAAACCTTAAAAACTGTCTTTGAAATGCCATGAGAACCAAAAACTATAACATTTCTAGAACGTTCAGGGAACCAAAAAATTGTTAGCATGGATACACATATCACGGAGAGGTCTATTTGACGCCGTCAAAACATACCTAACCAGCATATGCTGGTTTTTTCAACAGGGGAGATCTTTAACAGACGTCTTACAGACGTACGTGTGCTATGTCAAAGCTCAAAAATCTGAAAAGATCTGAAATACGAATAATAGTTTTAAAAAAATGTGCCACAGTTTTACTAAAGAAAATCTGAAAACGGTAATTGTGTAGATGTGTCGCTCTAGATTTAAAATCAATATTCAAGATCTTTAAATACGCCAAGGAATACAATGGTGGCACCATATTCAATAACGATTATAACTTTTGTTCGTGCATGCTAATTTTATTTCTCTTCGGTTTTACAACACATCAGCATGAGTTTGCTTCTCAGCTCTATATCTAAACCACAAAGTCAGAAAACAAGCTTTAGTCAGCTTTCTTATACATAAATACTGTTTTAGAGTCGTTTAATATTACTGCGTTTACCTCAAATATGCCAAATGTGGAGTCTTACCTGTTTAAATTATAACGTCTGCATTTACATCTGCAAGACATATTTTTTTAGAGTGTTTGCTCATCTGCAAAACGTCTATGTGACGTCTCCTATCAGATGTTAAATAGACGTTTATTAGATGTCTTTAAGACGTTTATGATTTAGAATGTATGTAAAACTGACATCTAAGATTATAACTTTTGTTCGTGCATGCTAATTTTATTTCTCTTCGGTTTTACAACACATCAGCATGAGTTTGCTTCTCAGCTCTATATCTAAACCACAAAGTCAGAAAACAAGCTTTAGTCAGCTTTCTTATACATAAATACTGTTTTAGAGTCGTTTAATATTACTGCGTTTACCTCAAATATGCCAAATGTGGAGTCTTACCTGTTTAAATTATTACTCAAAGTATGAGGAAATCCGATTCTGTTATCAATGTCAGGCAAATGGTTTGTGCGCATGCGCAGTTACTTTCGTAACGCTATGGCGAAGCAGAAGGGCCAAATGTAGTAAAAACGTTTTTCTCTCGTAATTTTCCTGAGAGTTTATAAACTCCATCATCTTAAAGGTAATATTTTACAGCACTGAACCGAATATCCGGGTTTAATGGCTGACTTTTACCTTTATAATGGCTGCCTTTTTAAATTTATAAATGTGTACAATCGAACCGAAATGAGGAACTAGTTTTTTTTATGGCAACGCGCGCCGTCAGGAATTATTTTGTTGTTGGACAGACATGGAGACTCACGTTCCCCATGTGAATAAAGAGGAAAACGAAGATCCAGGTGCTGCTCCTTATGGAAACTTCATCAATTATTACACCTTCAACCCGCCAGAGAATCGCCTGAGTCTGATACCAGAAACTCTGCTGGAAGGCATCGAACTCGGCTCTGAACGCGTTTTAATACTGGACGTGGGATGTAATTCAGGGGTAAAAATGACAGATTACTCTCATTTCGTGTTTAAATCATCATAGTGTGCTTTTTATTATTAGATATTACGCTTATTAAATTCATTTTTTATTCTTTGTATGCTGTGGTTATCTGTAAACACAATAAAGCTGACTTCCCTTAACATTTAGGCTACCTTTCAGATTTTTAAAAAACTTATTAGACATATATTACTAACAATTAACAGTCTGTGTATATGCATTTGAAGTGTTAAATGTAAAGCCAGTATAAATTAGAATTAATCGAGCAATATCAGATTTCCAGACATGGAAAAGTCGTGGAATTTAATAGTATATTTAAAATGTCATGGGAATTAATGTGGTTGATCTTAAACAAACAACAACAACAGTTCTAGTTATGCTCAGCAGTAAATAATTTTATTGTCTAGAAGTTGCTAAACTGCTGTTTATGAGACTTCTTTAATTTTGTCATACATATTCAAGAATGAGTGGTTTTAATCACCAAAATGTGTTTTGTATTATTCCCTCTGTTTGTCAGGACTTGTCTGTTGCTCTCTACAAGCATTTCTTGCATGAGGAGGCCTCTGGAAGTGACTTTTCTAAAAGAGAAGTGTATCTGCTTGGATTTGACATGGACCAGGATTTAGTCCTTCGCGCGCGAAACTCCAACCCCTTTCCCCAGAATATCCAGTTTATCCCCCTGAATGTAAAGCCAGTATAAATTAGAATTAATCGAGCAATATCAGATTTCCAGACATGGAAAAGTCGTGGAATTTAATAGTATATTTAAAATGTCATGGGAATTAATGTGGTTGATCTTAAACAAACAACAACAACAGTTCTAGTTATGCTCAGCAGTAAATAATTTTATTGTCTAGAAGTTGCTAAACTGCTGTTTATGAGACTTCTTTAATTTTGTCATACATATTCAAGAATGAGTGGTTTTAATCACCAAAATGTGTTTTGTATTATTCCCTCTGTTTGTCAGGACTTGTCTGTTGCTCTCTACAAGCATTTCTTGCATGAGGAGGTCTCTGGAAGTGACTTTTCTAAAAGAGAAATGTATCTGCTTGGATTTGACATGGACCAGGATTTAATCCTTCGCGCGCAAAACTCCAACCCCTTTCCCCAGAATATCCAGTTTATCCCCCTGGATATCACAGATGATCCAGAGAGCCGGGCAGTGCTAGAGTCCTACTTGGGAAGGTTTGGCTGCCCCCGCTTCCACCTGTGCACCTGTTTTGCGGTGACTATGTGGGTGCATCTGAATCACGGAGACGCAGCGTTTCTGTCTCTCCTCTCCAGACTGGCGTCTCTCTGTGAGTTTCTGCTGCTGGAGGCACAGCCGTGGAAGTGTTACCGCTCCGCTGCGCGCCGGTTACGCAAACTGGGGCGCAGTGACTTTGACCACTTCAAGACCCTTGAGATTCGAGGGGACACGGCTGCGCATGCTAGAGAGCACTTGGAAAAGCGGTGCAGCATGGATCTGGTGCAGAGTTTCGGTAATACAACATGGGACAGAAGTCTTCTGCTCTTTAAAAGACGATGATTTGGAGCAAAACAGTCGGACAGAAGTTTTAATCAGTCAAGATCAGTCTACAGCTGTGGACTATGGACTGACACTTGACTGTAACCCTAGTCTTGTAGACTATGATTCTATTTAGCAACCACAAGAGGGCACTATGTATGCGTTGCCATTTTTATTTTACATGTTTTTTAGTAACAGTATATCTAATTGACAGATACAAGTGAGTATTATTAAGAAGAAGAAGAATGTGTTTGTCCCCTGGATTATATTTATATTTCTAAATTAACAATTGCAGACAGATGGATATAGTCAATATTTAACTGCTTATTTTACAAATGAGCAAAAAAGTAAAAATATGTACACTGCCAGTCGTTTTTGAACGGTAAGATTGTTATGTTTTTAAAGAAGTCTCTTCTCCTCACCAAGCCTGCAATCATTTGATCCAAAGTATGGCAAAAACAGCAAAATTCTGAAGTATTTTTTACTAATAACTGTTTTCTATTTGAATGTGTTTTAAAATTTAATTTATTTCTGTGATTTTCAAAGCTGAATTTTTAGCATCGATCATTACTCCAGTCACATATGATCCTTCAGAAATCATTAGCTACTATTCTTATTTTCTGCTCAAAAAACATTTATGATTATTATTATTATTATGTTTAAATCAGCTGAGTATAATTTTTTCAGGGTTCTTTGATGAATAGAAAGTTCAGAAGAACACCATTTATCTGATATATATATATATAGTTGTAACAATGTCTTTATGTCATGTCTTTATCATCACTTTTGATCGATTTAAAGCATCCTTAATTTGTGTGTCTTTTTTATTGCTGAAGTGTGTTGAAATTTCTTCTTCTGCATTCTACTGTACGGACGTACATTTACTTTCCCTTCAGCCTGAGGCTTATTCGTTTCACTTTTGGTGTGAAAAGGCTTTTATATTTGCCAAAAATAGAACTTTTATTTCTATTAGAAATTTTATTTTAAAAACAAACAAGCAAGCCCTGTCCAGATTTTAAAAGTAACGCAAAAGTAACGTAACGCATTACTTTCCATAAAAAGTAACTAAGTACCGTAATTAGTTACTTTTTTATGGAGTAACGCAATATTGTAATGCATTACTTATAAAAGTAACTTTCCCCAACACTGTATATATGTGTGTGTGTAGCCTACTAAAATCGGCGCGCGTTTCCAGACTGAACGTCACAGAGAACTCTTCCCGCGCTCTCAGTCAGAATTCAAACAAAAATTAACAGACGAATAACTTAACGGTCTAACTTAGTGGCTGTTCGCGCTTTCTTATATGTGTAATTATTTGAATATAACGTTTATTGGACACTTCAATTTGAACAAATCAAGTGAAAGAACCAGAAATACATTAAACGAAGATGTTTTGGACGAGGAGAGCTGCTTCTGCGAAATTGTGAAGCTTTGTGGTAAGAAATAATATAATTTCCTTTATTATCATAGTCAAGCTTAATCGAGTTTGTGAATGTTAAGTAATTTGGAGCAATTTAGGTAATGAAAGTAGGTGTATTCTGGCTCCACCATAATGCTTGTCATCACCCAAAGCTCTTCAGGATGTAATTTTGATTAAATTTGGGGTTTGTCTGATTCAAGGTAATGTTAAACCCTCACTAACCATGGTGCGCTGAATAAAACCCCTTCAGACATGTATAAACGGCTCCTGTCTTCCTCAAAAATTACTCTAATTCTCATAATTGGGATTACAGTAGAACTGAAACCGCTTCTGTTGAAATATTGCTCAAACAGAAATGATTCCCAAGGCTGTTGTTGGTGTTTGTGTGAGTTTATGAAGCTTCAAGCTATTGAGAAGAGGGAGCATCAAGGACAATATGAAGAATATCATCATATCATGTTTTACTGTCACAGAGTGCATATTGACTGTCCTATGTGTATTTGCCTGTAGCCAAATAACAAATTATTTTGTTACATTTGAACAGGTTTTACAGGAAGAAATGCTCAAATTGCACTGCTGAGATGTTCACTTTGGTGTTATTTTTCCGGCCTTCTCATTTCTTTCTTGTTGAAAAAGGTAAATGTTTATTTCTTCTGTATGGTTTGTGTTCTTACAGACATTGACTAAACTTACTTTAGGTCTTTATTCACACCACACACAATTATGATTTTCAATTATGACTTCAGGACTGTCTGCACTGTCATTTTTTTCAAGTGGTGAAATCAGATCTGTTTGTTGAGATGGTGTATCGGGTTGCAGGTATACAATTGTTGCATACACATTGTGTCCAAAATAGTGCTGTCAAACGATTAATCGCATTCAAAACAAAAGTTTTGTTTACATAAAATTTGTGTGTGCTGTGTATATTTATGTATATATAAATACATGACATACAGTATATATATATTGAAAATATTTACATATATTTATATTCATATAATTTACATTATATATATAAATATACCATATTTTTTAAAATATATTCATGCATTGTGTATTTATATATACATAATAAATATACACAGCACACACACATTTTATGTAAACAAACTTTTTATTTTGGATGCGATTAATCGTTTGACAGCACTAATCTAAATAATAAGTAAATAATCAAATGCAATAGTTCAGACTGAAGGAAAAAAGAAATATATTTTTAAAAGCATTAGTTGTATTGCAATCATGTGCAGGCTTTATCCTTTTCAAAAATAAAAATGTTGAATTCTGTAGAATAAATCATTCCATAATTTCATTTTATATAGTCATTCAATTTGTATTTATATTGAATATATATAGTATTTCAATGAAACACAAGGTCTTTGTTCTTTCAGAAAATTAATTTCAGATTCTTCCCATTGATCCATAGAAAGTCAAAAGAAAACTACTTCTATATTTAATGTTAACTGTCATAGGTATAGTATAGCATTTTTGTTAATGGTTAACATTTCAGTGAGTGCTGAATCTGGTGTTGTTTCTGGTTTCAGTAGTCTTGATCAGGATTTTAGGTGATGGAGAGCTGTTCTGCTGAAAACCATTCACCCCTTTGGAACCTGTGAAGAAAAACAATAATTCAATAAAAACAATAAGTTTTCAGATTGTGTATGATGGTCACACTGTATGCCTTTTAAAATGCTGGTAATGAACTCAACATGAAATGGGATTTGTGACCCATTTTACTTTTGTAATATGATGATGAATGTCCTCTTTCACTTTCAGACAAACTGAGACTTGAATTTCTACATGGACAATTGATTGGAAGTGGCTGTTTCATAAAGGAATTGACCAGCGGCAAATATTTTTTGAGAAGCCTTTTGACCAAGAGGTGTCAAAAATTCAAGAGCATCTCCACATATTCCAATGGTAATAATGCTTTTTAAAATCACAAACAAAACCAGAACCCTCTCTAGAGGGAAAGACAGTACATTACAAGCTGTACAACGCCATGGGCAATGTCATGTAGAAGTGTTTGTATAATGTGGCCATTGTTGTAATGAATAATGTCCCATTAGTCCATTTACACTTACTGTAGTTGGTAACAGCCTGGATGTTCACAATGGGCTGCTGTCCAATTCTGTAAGAGGTAAGAAAAAATGAGATGGTCAATATTTATTAATGCTAACATTTCAGTTCCACCCCTCTTAGGAAGAATACACTGTGCTAAAACAGGACTCATTGCGTTACCTGTCCTCCTCGCCTTCCAGCAGCTTCCTGTAGGTGGCGATCTCTATGTCCAGCGCCAACTTGACGTTCATAAGCTCCTGGTACTCACGAAGCTGACGAGCCATGTCCTGCTTGGCTCTCTGAAGCGCCTCCTCCAAGTCCTTAATACGACCTTTGGCCTCCTTCACAGTCATCTCGCCACGATCCTCGGCCTCCGCTATCTGGTTCTCCAGGTTAGAGCGCTAAATCGATTGTAGCATCGAGAGTTAGCGACCACTATGGGTTTTGGTTAAAGCAAAGGTGATGTAGCACATTTCTCACCTGTGATTTAATAACCTCGATCTCGCTCTGCAGACGGCTGATCATGCGGTTGATATCCGCAATCTCTCCTTTAGTGTTTCGCATTTCGTCGTTGTACTGAATGGCTTGAGAGGACATCTGATCGAACTGAGCAGCACGAGATGGAAAAACGATCAGTACACTTGATTGATTGATATCCGTTCCAAAATGAAAGCTGTTTATGAAGTTCTGAAGAAAAACACCTCGTCAACATGAAAATGTACCCTATTTACTTTCTTAATCCATCTTCTGGGTCTTTTTGTGAATGATTACTCATTCCAAAGGAAAAAATGTCTTCAAAATCTTTTATTAAAATGTTAAGATACGACTTTACCTACCCAATAAATTCCCAATGTATTGGTCCCATCCTAGATTTTATGTCACTGAATGTGCTTTGTCAATCAGAAATACAGTTCGAAAATGGCATTTCATGTTGACTTGGCAACCAATTTATAAAAGGAAACCGTTTGTGTTTTGTATCTACCTTGGACTTGTACCAGGATTCAGCCTCTTCGCGGCTCTTGGCTGCGATCTCCTCGTATTGAGCCTTGACTTCGGCCACAATATGATCCATGTTGAGGTTTCGGGAGTTGTCCATTTGCACAATGACGGACGTGTCTTTAATGCTGGCCTGCAACTCACGCAATTCCTGATCCATAGAGATGAAGCAAGTTTATGTGTAGTTTAGCTGTGTGGAAACTACTGTAAACACTGTACTGTATATTTCTTGCAAGCCATATTAGTCGAGATGTTTGGTTTGGTCCAACCACTGTTTCCTTAAATGGCAAATTGTAGTTAAATATTTAAAGAAAAACAGTATTCTTTGTTTGGTATGTAGTTTTATGGCTGGTTTTCTAAGTGTATATGCATTACCTCATCGTAGATGGTTCTCAGGAAGTTGATCTCATCAGTCAGGGCACCAACTTTGTCCTCCAAATCAGCTTTCACTAGATACGCAGAGTCTACATCCTGCGAGACACAGTACTCCATTTTTCATCTTCTCAGTTGCAACCTTGAATAACTTGTATGTCTTCCTTGGGCATTGAACAACAACCCCCCACCCCGACCCCCCTTCCCTCATGCACCAGAAAAGACTTGTATCGATATATCAAAACCTACATCTCTTGGAGATCTTTAGTATGCAACTTTGACTTCTTGCTGCTCTCGGTAGGTAGGCCATTGAAAACAGATCTCCTCTAGTGTATAAATAATGCCGCATCCCCACCCAGGCTTTTGTCAATGGTGATCTGATCCCTTCAGGCTCAGAGCTCTTTACCCCTCCCAAACATTTCATTGTTCCCTCTCCTGGGCTGCTTTTATTCAACGTGTTGTGAAAGTTTAACTTTCCCTGGTCCTGAAAAAAGTCCATCTTTTCACTCTGTAACCTGCCCTAACCCCACATTACAGTGAGGTCATACCTATTGGTTTGTGTTTCATAATGTGTAAAAATACTATTTTTGACCTCTGACGTATAGTCATCTAGGTATCCCACCTTTTTCAGAATCACAAAGTCGTTCTCCAGGTTGTTCCTTTTGTTGATCTCATCTTCATATCTGAGTCAAAGAAAATACGAAGTGGATATTTGTGAATGTGAATCTGTGAATGTGGACAAATTTTATATTATATGCACATTTATAGCAAATGTGATCCATTGGTATTGATGATACCCAAACTCATTTAATGAGCTGTGTCAGTTCAAGGTTAGAATAAAATCATTAGCATGTGTGGCTCCATAATTGGTTTCTCAAAGAAATACAGGAGAGCCTCTTAAGTTCAGTAAACAGTGGTGTTAATGTAGATCTAAATACTTTACTTGTGTTTGAAGTCCTCCACCAGTCCCTGCATGTTCCTCAGCTCTCCGTCCAGCTTGGTCCTGTCATTGTTGACCACATCCATCTGTCTGCGCAAGTTGGCCATGTAAGCCTCAAACATGGGCTCAACATTGGACCGGCCCGGGGTCTGGCCCTGCAGCAGCTCAAACTTGGTCTCCAGCATCTTATTCTGCTGCTCCAGGAAGCGCACCTGTAGAGGTAACAATAAATATTTTTTAAATCAGTTTTTCATTATTTTTTTCAGTTTGTCTTTCATATGGAATAGATATAGAAATAAAGAGAAATTTGTGCCATGTTATCGATCGTCAAAAATGTATTTGACTTGAAAGTGTATTTTTAGCGCTAATATATTATTTTGTATATTATTTAATTTAATAATACAGAAATTATTTATTTATATGATTATTTAATTTATTTAATTAAAATTTCTAGTGTCAGTATCAAAATTTTGAATTTAAATATAAGTTCAGTATGGGTTCAGTATGACTGATGAGTCTCTGTATTCAATGTTATTAGAAATGTTTTAAGCAGAGCTAAGTGAAGCAAAAGGTAAATCCTCAGGTGGCTTCTACAACATCATCTAAAGAATTGCGCTCAAAGTAACCATATTTGTACCCAGTATACTGAAATATTGATGTAAAAGTTGTTCACCTTAATTGTAAATCTTCCTTGAGGAACATAAGGTAGGTTAATTAAAGTGTTTGACTAATGCTCTGTTACTAAAGTTATTCCTGTCATCTTTTTATAAGAACAAAGAAGAATGAGTCCACTTCGGTGGAATTTCAGCATTTTAAGAGCACTTCTTTGAGACTTCTTCAGTTCACTGCACATCCTGAAAGCCTGGCCGCTTTAATTGATGCCCAACCTGCCAGGATGGACTCATTAACGGAGCAATATGACTCCCCATTAGCTGAACGTTAACACTCTGGAGAGTAGCCGCTGACCTAGATGGGTTCTTCGTAAGTCCTTAATTTTGAGCCCTTTAAAAGCCAACCTGAGACCCGTGTTGGAGAACCCAACCCTGCCCCGACCCGCAACAGTGACTTTGTTGTACTTCAGTGCGATTGAAGTGTCGATTTCAGTCCAGCGGGCCCCTGGGATTCGGTTGCATTGTCCTCCGGCACACAAAAGCTTCCATCATACTCACTGGGATAGTGCTGTCTTCAGTGGCTTGGTCAGATCTGACCTGCTTTTATCAGGTTACAGGCTTCAGAGAAATGGGTCACGCTACAGAACTATCGGTTTCATGCGAGTCTACCAAATCACCTTTCCCTCGGAGGTTTGGGATGCCGAGCGTATTAAGACTTTATCATCGCTGTGTTGGTTTTAACATTCAAAGACCTTTACTTTTTGGCTGAAATTTTACAAAATGTTCTCTGTGAACAAGAGACCCAACTTTACCTTATCGATGAAGGTGGCAAAGCGGTTGTTCAGCGACTTGATCTGCTCCTTCTCCTTAGTGCGCACCATTTGGATGTTGGGGTCGATCTCCAAGTTGAGAGGCGCAAGCAGGCTCTTGTTGACAGAGACGCTAGTGATGGGAGGCCCCAGATAGGCAGAGCTGGTGCTAAAGCTCGGGGCAGATGCTCCCAATGAGATCCCACTTAAACTGCTGTAGCCGTAGCCTCCCATCTTCCCACTGCTCCTCACAGAGCTGCTGGAACTGATGCGCTTGCTTCTCAGACTCATAGTTGAACAAGAGAAACCGTGGAGAGCTGCAGTGGAAGACGTTTCAGATGTGAACAGGTGGGAAGACCTGAGCGATACGGGTGTCTCTCTGTAGAGAGGCTGGGCTTTTAAAGTCCAACCAGGATGGGGTGGAGAGTTCCTATTGTGGGAAAACCTGTTTCAGATTGGACACACGTACACACTGTCTGCTTTATCTGAGCTCCTGGATGGGCAGTGAACACGCTCTCGCTCTCTCAGTCTCTCTTTCTTATTGTTTCACCATGCTCATGTTCCATCTAAATGTTTAATGTGGCCCATGTCAACAACATTCCCATACTAACTGCATGTTTTCAAATAATGTTCTTTTTAGCAGCATCATATGACCCCTTTAATGGAACATGATCTTTACTTAATATCCTATGATATTTGGCATAAAAGAAAAATAGATCATTTTGACCCATACAATGTATTGTTGGCTATTGCTACATGCTAATTATGACTGGTTTTGTGGTCAAGGGTCACATTTGATAGAGTTCTGAGTAAAGTCTACCTTTTTTGCAGTTATGCCAGGTATTTCAAATAGCAAAAACAATGTATTTCTATTCATCAAAACCATGCTGTTTTTTTCTCTCCAACAGTTGTAGTTAAACTAAGACTAAATGTTGAGAGGTCCACCTACTGGTAAGACCTCTTTTTGCTTGCTTTGTTGTCATGTAAATTGTTTGAAAACTGAAATAGACGTTTTGCTCTCTTTATTGTTTTGTGACAGATATTAAAATAATGTTGTTATATATTATTTTAAATAATAGAAATGTCCATGTTAACTTTTAGCAGGTTAAATTCCCTTATGTGCTCCTGTTATCAGATGCTATTTCATTTTGCCAAGAAACGTAAAATACACATTTTCTTTTATAGAAAGACATTTGGTCAATGTTGCATTCGATTATTGTTGCCTGTAAGATTAATAAATTGTTTGGTATGCCAGCCATGTCGAATAGCAAAAACAACGTATTTCTATGCAGACAAAACCAGTCTTCCCTCAAGCAGTCATGCAGTTACAGACATGTTGAGAGCTCCATCTACTGGTAAGGTTTACTTTTTTTTTTTTTTTTTTTCTAGTTTCTTTTGATTTATTTTAATGTATTTTTTATGTTTTGATAGATGGTTTGGTCTCTGTATTGTTTTGACTTAAGATTTTTAATTAAGATTTTTTTTTAACTATAATAATTTAGATGCATCCAAACTGTTAAATGAAACTCATAAACAAAGATAGATGAAAGCAGTATTAAACTCCAAAACCTCAAGAAATAACAATACAAAAAAACACACACAGAAATGCATGAAAATAGCTGACAATGACTAATGCAATTTGAGGACTATTATAATATTGATTAACTGGAAATAATAATTTAAAAAAATAGTTAAAGTTCTGGTGGTAGGTTTATAAGTACTAATGTAGGAAACTTTTTCCTCGTCGAAGCAGAGACCAGGAGACGTTGGGATATCTTTCATACAGAAGTCACTCTTTATTGAGGACTCGCTGTGCGTCGCTGCAGTCATCCAAGTCTAACTAATGCAGTGATACATTGTAGTTTATATACATTTAGGGGGCAGTGCTTAGAAATGGAGACAAAGCACCTGGGTGACGACCTTAAACAAAGCATGCAAATGAAGTATTCAGGTATAGCCAGTGTTGGGGGGTAACGCATTACAAGTTGGAGTTACGTAATCAGATTACTTTTTTCAGGTAACTAGTAAAGTAACGCATTACTTTTTAATTTACAAGAGAATATCTGAGTTACTTTTTCAAATAAGTAACGCAAGTTACTTTTTTCCAATTTAAATAGCTTCAGTCCTCTCATTACAGAGATTACAATCTCTATCTAATTACAATGACTATAGAGCTGGTGATCCTCACAGGGGTGCTATTTCTATAGGAGGTCCCTACGGTGCCTTGTCGGGTTATCTGGTGAATGTTTTGCACGTGAATACAGTTTTTTTCCTCCAGTTTCCCGCTGCCAGACGGTTTGGCCAATGATATTCCAGCATATAAGGGCAGTCAAGAAAAGTAGCCAATGAGAGTGCGTTACTCTCAGCTGCGGCCGCCCTTTTGCACGAGATGTATTTGTTGCAGCCAGCAGCTGAGTTGCATTTTGCGTCCAGCGCTAACAAAAAAGAAAATGGATGAAACGGCTAAGGACAACACGGAGGAGTTTGTTAACGGTATCAAGGAGGAAAAAGATGAGGCGATTATTTTGCCGCCAGCGCTAACAAAAAATAAAATGGATGAAACGGCTAAGGACAACACGGAGGAGTGTGGTATCAAGGGGGAACAAGATGAGGCGATTATTTTGCGGCCAAGGCTAACAAAAAAGAAAATAGATGAAACGGCTAAGGACAACTCGGAGGAGTGTGGTATCAAGGGGGAACAAGATGAGGCGATTATTTTGCCGCCAGCGCTAACAAAAAAGAAAATAGATGAAACGGCTAAGGACAACTCGGAGGAGTGTGGTATCAAGGGGGAACAAGATGAGGCGATTATTTTACGGCCAGCGCTAAAAAAAAAGAAAAGGGATGAAACGGCTAAGGACAACACGGAGGAGTGTGTAAACGGTAACATGGAGAAACAAGATGAAAACGATGAGGTGATTGATTTGGTGGGATCTTCTGATGAGAGTGCCGCTTCCAGCGTGGATTCCACAGAAGAGGAGATGTTCCTCGATGGTCTGGATCCCCTCTTGGATCGGTAACTTTACACATATCTGCAAAACCTCTTTTATATATTTTTAAGGCGAGGCACTTCAGGCGAATAGGGTAAAAATATACCCTAAAAATAACTAATAGTTATCGCCTTACCTAGCTGATTGATTACATTGATAATTGCAAAACATTTTTGCATTACACGTTTTCTAAAATGTTAGGTTTAGATATGCAAATGAGTCATTATTTAATGAAACGTGCTAATTTGCATAAATTTCTTGTACAAAAATCTAAACACTGGATGAGGTCAGTTTCAAAATTCTTGTTTAATTTTCAATAGTCAAAAGTTTTTACAGAGGGAATTTTGGGGATCTCATTTTTGTCATTCAGAAAATGCTTAGAATGGACAGAAAACACTATTTTCACAATTGGGGGAAGGGGGGGTTAAAATGTTGAATATAATCAAGCAAATTATATATGAACAAATCCCTCTGTAAAAACCTTCAGGATATAGACAGGAATAAAAATGTAAAGTTTGGTGTGTGTAAGTGCTACTGAAGTGGAGATTTATGGCTCAATGTAGGAGGAAAAAAACTCATTTTGAGAAAATGGTCTTTAAAAATATGTATTGTAACTGAAGTCTATTGACACAGATAGATAAAGTGCTATAAAAGAAACACTTAACAGTGTCTTTTGGATGTTTTCATTCCACTAGTCTGAAAAAACACTTTATGAAAAGCCCAAAATCTCAAACTTGACAGGTGCATGAAAAAACTGTTTTTGCCTGCAGTGTCTCCCCTTAAAACGGGTTTATACGACATGTAATGAAATACACATATGAATTTGATCGGAGCTAAATGATATGCCTTGAGGGCATTTAACAGTTTAATGGTCAGCATCTATATAACTTTACCCAGGTTAAAAAAAGTACACTTCCATAATGTACTTAAAATGCTCTATTTTCGAGCACTAATTTTGTACTTAATGTACTGAAAATTATTCTTTAGTACTTCTTAAGATAAACTTAAGATCAACAAGTTTACTCAACTGTGCTGTTTTAGGACACCATGAACTAAAATGGGCTTTTAAAATACTATCTCTGTATTTAAAAAATGTATTTAGTTACCACTTGTAGTACACTTGAACCCATCTTTCATACGCTAGTACACTCAAGTGTACTACAAGTGGTAACTAAATACATTTTTAAATACAGAGATGGTATGTTAAAAGTGTTTTAGTTCATATTTTTGGTGTCCCAAAATAGCATAGTTGAGTACACTTAGTTTATCTTAAAGAATAATTTTTAGTATATTAAGTACAAAATTAGTGCTCGAAAATAGAGCACTTTAAGTACATTATTAGAAGTGTACTTTTTTTTATTTTTTTATTTGGTTTTCCAAATTGCATTTGTTCGATTAAATTTACAAATCTTGACTTGCTTTATTAATTATCCCACATAAAACGTTCTGCATTTTCTTCTATTCCATGTCAAGAAACCGCTAACAATTACTTTAGAAGTATTAAATGCAAACATAGCGCCTTGTTCCGATTTTAATCGAAACAACATTTATTGGCTTGACCTGAATAATTATAGTACTGCCTTCTGTATAGCTGCATTATAGTTAAATTAAAATCATTTCATAATTGGTAAACTTTGCAACATTGACACTGTTATTTAAGTAAACTCAGGTAAACCTTAATCATTCTTGAATTTTTGCAATACTATTTACTGTTTCTTTGTTGAAACTATATTCTATTTTTAAATGTAACATTTGTGTCTGTATATTTACATCACTAATGCCAGTTTGTTGTCTTGCTTAATGCAACAGGCTTTCGGATACCTCTGATGATGACTGGTATCCAGAGGCCACTCCACAAAAAAAGAAGAGGAGATCCAGTCTGTCTTCTGTATCGCCATCTCCAGCAAAATCTTGCAGATCTGGTTCACCCACTTCTGTGCAAAGTGGCAAAAGCAGAGGTAGGAGAAGCAGCATGAGTCGATCCCTACCTTTTCCCTCAAGCATCTTAGAACAGAAGTGGAAAAGTGCAGATGAGCCTGATGTTGAGCCAACACAGCCAACATTCAGACCTAAAAACACACCCGGCCCACAGCTGGTCTCCACTGCAACATGCAGTCCTATGCAGTATTTTGAGTTGTTCTTTTCAAAATCAGTGCTACAGACAGTTGTAGAACATACAAATGCATATGGAGCCATGCGTCGTGGAGGAATGAAGACACCATGGGAGAACATTTCAATAAAAGATCTGAAGTCATTCATAGCACTGGTGATTTACATGGGCATGCTGAAATGCTTCAAACTGACAGACTACTGGAAGAGATCAGACTTA